ACGATGTGGAAAGGATATAAATATCCTCCAGGAGGGGTAAGTGTACTTTCAACTTTGTTTTCTATTTCTACTTGGAAATGTATTCTCCCAGAGAAACAAACTAAGTATGGAAATCCAACTCTTTTATTTAAAAAAAAAAAAAGCTACCTACTTTTACTATTCACATTCATACTCTAAAGTTGGGAAAGTTCCCACTTTCTTTCATGTCATCTTTTATGCCTGTTTTTTGGTAAGAGTCTTTATTCATGTTCTTCAGTTTGGAAGCAGAGAAAAGGATATTTCAGTCCCAGAGTCAGTGCTTTCTGACTTGGGCAACCTAGTCCCTGTTACACATATCATATGCTTAGCTTTCAGTACCGTTTCCTAATGAGCTCACTTAAGCACCCAAACTTATCTCTTCGGTAAGTAAGCACTACTCTGTAAAAGGGTTCTTGTGGCAGATGTCTCTTTCCTTTCCTCCTGTTTGTCTTTTCTCTGCCTCTTGGTCAGCTTCCACACTGCTAAGCACCTTGGTGGCTGGGATCAGAGGCATGAGGTGAGACAGACTTGGACACAAGCTACTTTTGCCATCCCTTGGCAAGGCCAATTGTCTCAGTTTCACACTAGCAACTGACATACGTTTCCTCCCCTCCCCCAGACCCCAGTGGAAGTAGCCAAAGATGATCCTGGTGAAGTAATGCAGCTCTGAAGCTCACCTGACCAGCTGTACAGTTCCTGTTATTGGTTTCGCATAAAGTAATTGCACATTATTTTGTCATATTTTATGTAAAAAATTACCTCTCTTAAGATGAATGAAGACCTGGTATTCTGTTAGCTTGTAACAGAGAGAAGGAGGGTAGAGAAGTAGTCGGGGCGGATGGGAGATGAATGTGCTCCTTCTGATACACAGTCCCTGAGACTGGCATTAAGACTGAGGTAACTGGCTCGGAGCCTATAGCTCAACCGGCTAAGGCGCCAGCCACGTACACCTAAGGTGGCGGGTTCGAATCCCCAGCCCGGACCTGCCAAACAACAATGACGGCTGCAACCAAAAAATAGCCGGGCATTGTGGCGGGCGCCTGTGTTCCCAGCTACTTGGGAGGTGGAGGCAGGAGACTCGCTTGAGCCCAGGAGTTGGAGGTTGCTGTGAGCTGTGATGCCACGGCACTCTACCCAGGGGGACAGCTTGAGGCTCTGTCTCAAAAAAAAAAAAAAAAAAAAAAAAAGACTGAGGTAACTGACTGGGCGTGGTGGCTCACACCTATAATCTCAGCATTCTGGGAGGCCAAGGCAGGTGGACTGCTTGAGCTTAGGAGTTCAGGACCACCCTGAGCAAATGTGAGACCCCCTGGGTGTGGTGGCACACAGCTGTAGTCCCGGTTACTTGGAAGGCTAAGGCAAGAGGATCACTTGAACCCAGGAGTTTGAGGTTGCTGTGAGCAATGATGCTATAACACTCTACTTAGGGTGACAGAGTGAGACTGTCCTCCCCCCCCAAAAAAGACTAAGATAACTAGTTCAATTTGTCCCCTGTTCTTTGTCCTTAAGGATAGAAATTCTCTTTAGACCTGTTTTTCCAAGTAATACCTTTCTTCTGGGTCCATGGTCCGGAAGTGAAATATATTACAGAAAAGACTAGCAATTGCAGCAACTTTAAGCCTGTTCTTTTTTTTTTTTCTTTTGAGACGGAGCCTCAAGCTGTCCCCCTGAGTAGAGTGCCATGGCATCACGCTCACAGCAACCTCCAACTCCAGGGCTCAGGCAAGTCTCCTGCCTCAGCCTCCCAAGTAGCTGGGACTACAGGCGCCCACCACAACGCCTGGCCATTTTTTGCTTGCAGCCATCATTGTTGTTTGGCGGGCCCAGGCTGGGGATACAAACCCACCACCTTAGGTGTATGTGGCTGGCACCTTAGCCGCTTGAGCCACAGGCGCCGAGCCTAAGCCTGTTCTTTGGAGGTATTTCTTTCTTGTGGCCTTTTCACACTTCGTAAGAACCCAAAGCTTACATCACATGGGGAAAGAATATTTTAATATTGGGATAGAAGTAAAGTATACAATAGTCTCCTAAAGCTGTGTATTAGCCTTATCTTACAAAATAGCAAAATAAAGTCAAAGGGCTTATGTATCTTTCCAACACACACAAGATTAAGATCCATCCATAACCTCAGATATGGTGAGAAGAAAAAAAAAAGATTAAGATTAGGCTTTCTCCTTAGCATGCTTTTATGTATCAAGAAAAAGAGTTAGAAAAAGAGAACTGGGATATCTAAGATCTTGCTGTTTAAAGGGCTCCCTCACCTAAAAAGCCAAGAATTTGGGCAGTGCCCACAGCTCAGTGAATAGGGGACCAGCACTAGGCTGGCAGGTTCGACCCCTGCCCGAGCCAGCTAAACAATGAGAACTCCAACAAAAAATAGCAAGTGTGTGGTGGGCACCTGGGGTCCCAGCTACTTGGGAGGCTGAGCCAAGAGAATTGCTTAAGCCCAGGAGTTTGAGGTTGTACTGAGCTGTGATGCTATGGCACTCTACCAAGGGTGACATAGTGAAACACTTGTCTCAAAAAAAAAAAAAAAAAAAGCCAAGAAGCTGCCTGATGATTCTTTTAGCAGTGACTACTGCTTATAAAGGTAGCTTATGCTAACTTTAAAAGCTAACTGCTGGGCTCGGTGCCTGTGGCTCAAGCGGCTAAGGCGCCAGCCACATACACCTAAGGTGGTGGGTTCGAATCCCCAGCCTGGGCCCGCCAAACAATGATGGCTGCAACCAAAAAATGGCCTGTGGTCCCAG